GGCGACCATCTGAAGTCGACGGAAACAAAGTCGGCAACCATGAGAGAATGACCGTCGCCTTTTTTGCGAAATTTTGCGGCTGTGTCTTTGTGATGCCAGTTTTTGACCTTCCGGTCATGGGCGTAGAAATTTGACTCGTTGTGGTACCAAACGATGACCTGCTTCCCCTCGCGATGTGGCCCAAACTCTTCTTTGCCGTCCCTGTCAAACCGCTGCATCTGCCGCTCGAGTCGTTTAATTGCGGGAATATATTTTGTATCCCTCTCGCATACGACATCCTCCCGCTCGTGTCCATCGGAATATTGGCCTTTTTTGGCCTCCGAGAACCTGTAGCCCAATGCATGCAGATAACGGCGCGCCGTGCGAACGGAGATCTTCTTGGTGATGCCGTGTTTTGCCATTACTTCAGGCTGAGAGAGATACTGCACCAATTTCTCCGAGGTGATATGGTTTCCAATCTCCTGCAGATGAAGGTTTATATCTGCTGCCAGATCCTCGTCAATGAGAAGACTATCTTTCCACTCTCCGTATGGATTGATGGGCAAGATTTCGCGGTCGTGGATATATTGCCGAGCCAATTTGCACACCGTGCGGACACAATGTCTCCCACGTGCCAGCCCGACAGCAGTCTGAAGCACCGATGCACCCCAGTGGCCATAGGTTTTAGACCGCGGATCTGTGTATTGGTTCAGGAAAATGTGCATGCTTTCCAGCCGATGTTTGATGAAAGGATCAACTTTGGGATCTTTGTAACCCTTGCTCGTGCCGCGAGACTCCCTCCGAAGGAGAAGAGCAAGGTCCTTGGTGGCGGCCAATGCAAGGGGGATCGGGGGAGCCTCTCGGAGCTTTCCAGGGGCCGAAAACGCGTCATTAATCTGCACGTACACGTCCTGTGCGGCGGGATCAGCTGCAGCAGCCTTTTGGAATGCCGGTGTGTCATGGTCGGAGGGCATGGAATTGACTGAATTGACCGAATCAAGACTATTCAGGCTATCCGTGGACATAATATTGTAGCACGAGGCCAGATAGGATCGATCATCCTCATCTGGGACTTCTTCGACAGTAGGGCGACGTGACTTCGGTGGGGGAAGTGTGTATTCGTGATAAAACTGAAGGGGAGGACCAACGGGGACATCCGGCTGAGTGTTCTGATGGAAGTAGGAGCCGTACGGCACGTAAAAATGGCCCTTGGGAAGATTGCCGGCAGCAGAGGAGGAAGTTGCCAAGAAGACATCCGGTAGGATGGATATGTCCGAGGGAGAGGTGGAAGCCTTTGCCGGTTCCTATATCACATTGGTGTGTAATTCACAGATCTGTGGGCCGTGTATGCTTACATTCTCCTTGTCTGTCTCCGACACCTTCCTTCTTTTACGCGGTGAAAGGCTTTGAACGGCACGCTTTAAACCTTTGCAGAAGTTCTCTGCCCGTTTACGAAGGTATCCGACCTTTGCAGGCATGGTGCCTGCGCGGCAGATGTGATTCGACCGTCGAGAAGTCGAGGAAGCGCCAAGGAAGCGTGTTTTAGGCTAGAAAAAGGACTATCTTGACATCTAGTCTTTTCCAAGGGAACTTTTACCAAACCTATCACTACCGATTGATTCGGACACCATTTTCCCCCAAATCCATGGAGCCGATAAGGTTGCAGTGAAGTGGCTATTATTTGCGGTCATTTCTACGATAAATTACCCATATTTGGAGCCCGTCACGCAGACCACGTGACCTTTACAGTTTTTGTATGGCTGCTACCTTACTTTTTTACTCTTTTTTTCTTGTTCTCTAGCATCCCAACAATAGTTTATTCACTGCACACGAAATAAAATTTTGTATTTAAATCCACCCAGAAGCGATCTGTTATTGAAGCTTTGTATTTCACAACATTCGGTATGTAGAAGTTCTCCACATCGGTGTCAGAACCATCTAAGACCCGATGCCTTACAGCGACCATAATGATTACATCATCATCATCATCATCAACCATCTAAGATGATAAGGGAAACCGTTGCAAACAGTGTGCATCCAACCGCAATCAGAATGTCTATGTCTGTATTGAGGACAATATCATTATCAGCTGGTTACAGTCAGTTCTGGAATGTAATATAAATCATCGAGGTCTCACGGAGGTCTGAATCCATGTGCTAAGATTCTAGGTTGGCCAACTGTTTGTTGTATGCGACACATCTGTCATGTCCTGCGGACCCATCATTATCCAGCTTCGGACGGCCCAAAGTGAGGAGTCCAGGTTGGCTCTGTCAAAGGATTTTAGGCAGATGTCACATGCGATAAGGAGAATTTGCACATTGTCAACGACAACACCAAAAACATAATAGGATGCGGCTTTCGGATCCCATATGCTAGAGCATATGCAGAACTAGTCGGGTACAACTCAAAACACTTCTTGATATACAATCTGTCAATTAGCTTCTCCATGGATAATGTCGAACACTGGATCCCTGTCCCAGATAGGGACACATTTGGTCCTTCTGTTAATAGCAGCTGCCGATATTTCACGGTTGGCATCGACATTCCAAGCAAATCAAAAATATTGTTTGAAAAATATGTTGATTCATTGGGCACCTTAGCACACCACCTCGGGGAGCATGTCTTGCACTGCTTAGACAATGATGTTGCCTATCTGTGCTTCAAAAAAGAGAAGTGCTCACCCAATTCAGGCATTGAATGCTCTCCCAATTGTCCAAAGGTACACTATCAAAGACCCTGGTGGTTTCAGGGTAGGTGACATTGTGGAGATGGGTTTTGCCTTGGTCGCCTTTGGGCAGCCTACCAGGGGAGAAGACAAACAGATTTGCAAGTTGGTGCTCCAAACATTGACCTTTCTAGATGATTCACCATACCTTGATTACAGTCTTGAACTGCACGCTCCCAGTAAATTTCATGTGAAACCAGAGGTCAGGAATATACCCCAGACAATTTGGCGTAAGGAGTATGTCATGACAAGCTGATTAGGGGCATAGCTTTAGGTCTGGAAGACTGAGACGGTAGTTTGGGACATGACGGTTAAAGAAAAAACAGGAGATGGCATCAGTGGGTGTGACGGAAGTATGCGACCAAGTGAGACATGCACCATCTCGGGGAGTTCCGACACGGCATCTGCCGTGATTGTGCACAAGCGCTGCTACTATCATAGACCCCCCAATGACAGAGGCAGTGATCGCAGCCAAAAGAACCATTTTTGCGCCATGGTTTTCCCTTGGCAGATGTAATTAGGCTCTGTAGTATGTCCTCTATCCACTCCAATATTTTCAAGATTTTAGGTTGGGACCAAGGAAAGATGTTGTCGTCCCGAGGGAGGGACCCCATGTGGTAGCGAATTTCGGATGTATTTGGCAGTGTCACAAACTGTCAGAGAGACTTCCCTTTCATTTATTGCACACCTCAGAGGGCTTGGATGGCCAAAAAAAATTGTCAGAACATGCCTGGCATGTGTATCCACATTCACAATTTTTCCTGGGGCAGAGGAAACAAAAATGAGGTCGGCATCAGTGAGACTACCACATCGAGGTACTATGATAGTACATCGACTGACAGCAGGGAAACAGGTAAATTTGGCTAGGCATCTAGCTGTGATATACTTAGCTTAAAGCCGCCCAAATTCAAGGTGATATTACGAGGCTGGAAGCGAGGAAGGCAGCGGGGAAATCTGCCGAGACGAAACAAAAGACACTGCCACATAATCTACAATGCGACTCAGCGACAACAGGACCGATTTACGAGCTGAAAATTGGACAAGACCAAAATGGATGCAAGGGAGGATGCTTTTGTATCTGAAGGAACCCACCAGTGGGCGCAAAAAATGCAAAAAAGATGTAAAATTGCCAGGAACAAACACAGCCACTAAACTGTCACAAAATTTGAAGTCAGTTTAAAGGACAGCTACTATGGCTCCTTCAACACTGCCACTAAATTTGATAGCACAGCCCTAAAAAGATTACACGCTTAAATTCGTGACCAAAATGTCGCGAGACTTTCAAAACCTCATTTCGATTGATTAAAAAAACAATTACATAAGTACTCGTAAAATAATTTGGCAAGTAAATGATCTAAGTGGTAATATATCCCCTAATAAAACGTAGAGCACTTACCATAGCATTAAAATGAGAAACCACGGCACTGAGAGCATGCAGGAGCGCAAAAGATTATTTATTTTTGTGTGAAGAAATGATCTGTGGTCCTTGCATGACAATTATTGCCTCACCACGGCAGAATGGCTTCGAGTCTCAAAATTCTGTATGGTACATATTGAAGGGGCATATACGGACTATGTACCTAGATTTTAGTTTTACCATTTCCATCCAGTTATGGATGGAAAACAGGCAGAAACCAAAACATTGATGCAAAGACCGTGGAATGACTGTACTTGGTTTCTTGATGACTCTTGCAGGGTCCTAACCTCCTGAATTATCGGGACCTCACAGACTGGTCGACTTCGTCCTTCTCCCATTTCACTTGAGTAGCCTCGATATAATATCATCCTGTAAATTTCATGTCCTAGCTACACGATGTACTTGCCGGTCCAACATTAATGGTGTCCAGGACCACCGGGCCATTTTGAACTGTCGCCAAAAATATCAATATTGTGCAGTGTGTACTCTGAGCCCTGGAATATTTTCGGACCGACACAACGGACAGCTGGAAGAATGACTCGCCAGAAGAAAAAGGCCTGACCCCAAATTGGAATAGGGATCTTCTGCTGGACCTCACATAACAAACCACCTAAATGCTGCAGATTCACTATCCAGCTGTGCTATCAGGCCATTGTGAACTTGTCTGGTTTCCTGCAGACCAGAATTTATGTTGAATTTGAGCATTTACTATTGTCTGATGATGTTCAACTTGATGGCTGTCTTCCAAGCCGATTCAGATATATCCTTCCCTTTCGTTGCTGGCTAGATTTCGGAGACGGCGGCCTTGCGAAGTCGACTGCCGAGGTGAGGATGAATTGAGTCTAGAGCTGGAGAGAAAAACCAGAAAAGGAAAAGAAATGGCCTAACCCCGAATTGAACAGGGATCTTCCGCTGAATCCTACGGATCGAAGCCCATGTGTCGCAGATGCACTATCCAATTGTGCTATCGGGCCATTGAAAGGTAGATTAGATCTTTTATCGAAGTGGCATTTTTAGGTTGAGTTGCAAGGATGATAAGGCATAGGATCAACAGTCAATTTGATTTCAATTTCACCTTTCAAGCCGATAATACTGTACAGGCCTTCCCTTTCTTTTGCTGGCGATATTTTTCTGAGGCTTCGCGACAGAATATAAATTCCCGAAAATCGAGAGCCTGATATATATATAGAAAAAGCCAGAAAAAAAGGCAAAGATATAGCTTGACCCCGAATCGAACAGGGATCTTCTGTTTAAAATCATGTGCCTAGCCCTATGTGTCGCAGACGCACTATCCAGTTGTGCTATCAAGCTGTCAAACGGTATGTTGCATCTTTGATTCAATTGGCATTTTTAGGTTGAGTTGCAGCATAGGATCGACAATCAATTTGATTCCACTATACAGGCCTTCCCTTTCTTTTGCTGGCGAGATTTCTCTGAGGCCTCGCGACAGAATATAAATTCCCGAAAATCGAGAAGCCTGATATATATATATAGAAAAAGCCAGAAAAAAAGGCAAAGATATGGCCTGACTTGACCCCGAATCGAACAGGGATTTTCTGCTGAATTTTTACGGACTTAAATATGTACCGCAGATGCACTATCCAATTGTACTATCAGACCATTAGAAAGTATAGTCAACTCCCTTTTAAGTCATATCCCTCATATACTATACTCCCCCGTAACCCATACTTTTTGGGTTGATTTTCCCAAAATTTTGGCAGGGATAGCCCATAATGCTTTAGTGACCTATACCTTTTGGAATCCACCGAGGCATATAGGTTAAAAGGGAGTTTACTGTAGGTTGGGTCTTTGGTTGAACTCGCAATTTTAAGGGGGCTGGAGTGGATGGGGTGATGTTCAACAGATCAGTTTCATCTGAAGTTCAGGTCCTGCCAGCGGCTTGCGTCCGTTGGGTGTTCAGAATGTAAGATGCTTGCCAACAATTTTGCGGTGCGTGGGGCGCGGAATTATCCGCCATGAAAAACAAAACTCTTTCCAGTTTATGACCTGACCCCGGCTCGAACGGGGATCTTCTCGTTCATGCTGAAGTTCGAAAGATCTTAGGAGAGGCACTACCCAGCTGTGCTATCAGGCCATACTGAATTTACCTGGATTTTCCTACAGACCAGATGTTGAATGAGATGTTAAATTTGGGGATTTGAGGTGCCAGCTGATGTTCAAGTTCTTGATAGCTGTCTTCCAAGCCGATACTTAATACCCTTCCCTTTTTTTGCTGGCGAGATTTCTGTGAGGCCATGCCAAAGAATATAAATTCCCGAAAATCGAGAGCCTGATATATATATAGAAAAAGCGAGAAAAAGAGAAAGATAGCCTGACCCTGAATCGAACAGGGATCTTCCACTGAACTCCAGTTTAGATTTATGTTTCGCAGATGCACTATCCAGTTGTGCTATCAGGCCACTGGAGGGCAGGTTGGGTCATTGGCTAAATTGGCATTTTTAGGTTGGGATGGTGGATGGAAAGTTGATGCTCAACAGATCAATTTCACCTGAAGTTCGGGTCCCGTGTGCGGCCTGCGTCCGTTGGATATCCGGCATGTAAGGTCGATTCAGATCCCCGGGCCTGACTGTGATTTTGCGGGGCGTTTATTCGCGGAATTACCCTGAATGAAAAAAAAAATCGGGCTTCCGAATGATGACCTGCCCCTGGCTCGAACGGGGACCTTCCCGTTAAATATGAGCCTACAAAATTAATCTTTGGAGACGCACGATCCACTTATGCTATCAAGCCGTTCTTAACTTGTCTGGATCTTCTTACCACCAGAATTTGAACGAAATGAGATGTTGAATTTGCGTATTGATGTTCAACTTGATGGCTGTCTTTCACGCCGATTCAAATGATACCGTGCCCTTTCTTTGCTGGCGAGATTTCGTGAGGCCTTGCGGAAGAGGAGGAATTCCCGAAATCGAGAGTGTCTAAGATACGAGTAGAAGAAACCGGAAAAAAAAACGACAGGGATGGCCTGACCCTGAATTGAACAGGGACATTCTGCTGCATGCGCTTACATTTGGCATGTATCGCAGATGCACTATCCAGTTATGCTACCAAACCATTCAAAGGCAAGTTGGGTCTTTAGTTAAATTGGGATTTTTGGATGGGTTGATGTTCAACTTCACTTTGAGTTCAATTTCCAGGAGCCGAGCGGTTTGCGTCCGGTGGGCATGCGGAATGCGAGATGCTTGGAAGTTCCCTGTAATTTTGCGGAATGGAAGAAAAACCGGTGATGTTCGTGACGACTTGACCCCGGATCGACTCTCGCAGCGTGAATTGAGTGCCAGATAATGTAAAATTGAAGCAGCTGGTCAAAGCGATAAAATTTCGGTTTCGGCTGCGGGATTACGTGATCTGCTGACTCTTTACATCGATGGCGCCGAAGTCGTCTGCATCGTCTGGGACGCGCAAGAAGCACGCGCGCAAGGCGGCGGGCCCCGTCGAGCCCGAAGCGCCGCGCGAGAAGAAGGGCAAGAAGGCGCACCGATCCGACCCGCCGCGACAGAAAGTGTATGTGGCCCCGGTGAAACCGTCGGCGGCGCAGGCGGACCCCCTCGAGACGACGGGGCTCGCCCACCGCCTCCCGCCCGCCCTGCTCGTCGTCCTCCGCAGCCTCGCAAAGAAGGCCCCGGTCACAAAGGTAAGGGCCCTCGAGGAGCTGTTGAGCGGCTGGGTCGAACGGTGTGCGGGGGACGAGGACGACACGGTGCTCTACGCCGTGCTCGACATGCTCCCAGTCTGGACGCACCACCTCCCCGCGCACCTCCTCCACCCGGACCGCCGCATCCGCCTCCTCACCGCAACCGTGCACGCCGCCCTCCTCCGTGTCCCGCTCCTCCGGCCCGCGCTCGCCGACGACGCCCCGCCCACCGCCGCCGGCGCCTGGGCCCTCGCCGCACACGACGTCGACCGCGCCGTCGCCACCGTCGCGTCTGCTGCGCGTGTCCCCTCGGCCGACCCCGCGCCGATCACGCACTTTGTCGCGCGCACGCTCATGCGCCCCGATGCGCTCTACGCAGAGCTCAACCCCCCGCCGCCCGCCGCGCCATCTTTACCCGCGGCGAAGCGCCCTACGGGCGTCGTGGACCCCGCCCCCGCCCCCGCACGCACCAAGGCGGACGAGTTCGACGAGAGCGAGCCGGACCGCCGCGCCCGGCTGCGCATCGCCGCGTTCGGTGCCCTCAAGCACCTCCTCGAGACGGACACTACCACCCCGCTCCCCGCGTTCCTTGCCTCTCCTGCCCTCTGGTCCGCGCTCCACCACGCGCCCGACCCGCCGTTCCTGCACGACCCGCTGCCGCAAGACGAGGAGGGACACGAGGATGAAGACGACCACCGCGACGCCTACACCGAGGGCTTCGGCACCGCGCAGCCCGCGCTGCGGCGCGCCGCCTGGGCCGCGCTCCCCGCCGTCCTCGCGCACCGGCCCCTCCCCCCCGCCCTCGTGCGCGTCCTCGCGCGCGCCGTCCTGCGCTCCGCGTGGGTCGAGCCCGATCCGGGCGTGCAGGGCGCCATGTGGGCCGGCGTGCTCGGCTTCCTCAAAGGTCCGTTTCCTTCTTTCCTCCCTCTTATCCCGCCCGTTTATCCTATCTTATTTTATCCTACCACCAGACCACCCCCACGCCTGGACGCACGCGCCCGAGGCGTACGCAGAGTTCCGCACCGCGTTCCTCGCGCGCGCGTGCGGCGGCGCACCCGTCGCCGCGTACCCGACCGTCGTCGTCGTCGTGTCGACTGTCCCGAACGAGGTGCGTTTTCGTTTTCGTTTTCGTCCTCATTTTCGTTTTCGTCGTCGTTTTGGTCTGCTTCGTACATTTTGCTCTTCTTCTCGTACACTTTGCTCTTCTTTTCGTACGCTAACGCGCCCGCCCACCCAGATCCTGCACCCTGTCGACACGCTCTTCGACGCCTTCTGGGCCGCGCTCGGCGGCGCGCCGCGCGTCGAGGGCTTCGCTGAGGACTCCCGCCCTGCCGAGCCCGTCGTCGACGCTGCCCTAGAATCGACCCATGCAGGCGTCGAGTCGGACGAGAAAGCCGAGTCGCAGGAACGCGCAGGGAAGCAAGAGGAAGAGAAAGAGGGAGAAGAGGAAGAAGATGAAGCAGAAGTCAAACAACGAGCCGCCCCCGCGCTGACGACCGCGCTCCCGCCCGCCCGCGCGCGCGCGGGCGCGGCGTTCGTGCGCGCGGTGCTCGAATGTGCGGTGTTTGTGGCGCGGCGGGGGGGTGTGTTCCGCGCGCGCGGGCAAGGGGAGGACGATGACGAGGAGGACGGGAAAGAAGGAACGCGGCTGTTCGCGCGGGAGGTGGCGCGTGTTTGGGGGGCGTTGGCGGGGTCTGGCGATCAGTTGGGGACGGACGATAAACAGGCGAAGGAGGGGAAGGAAAGAGGCAAGGAGGAGGGTAAACGGCTACTGCACGTGGAGGTGCGGCGCGCGGCGGGGCTGTTGCGGGGCGCGTTGGGGGCTGCGGGGGGCGGTGAGTTGGTTTCTTTCCGTTTCTTCCTTGGTTCTTTTTTTCTGGGGGTTGTGGTGGAGGAGTTTGGATTTTGGATTTGCGAGCTTTTTCATTTTTCGTTCTTCACGTCGCCTCGTTTTTTTCGGGGGGCTTCGATTCGCCCACTCGTCGACCCCTCGAGTCTACTTGCGGCTTCGGCTGACGAGGACGAGGTGGCTGGAGGATGTTGTTTTAGATGTACTGCCTTCAGCTCCTTCTACCCCAGCCCTCCGTCGTATACACGCTTGTCTCTTCCTCTATTTTCCTTTCCTTCCCCTTCCACCTACTTTCCACCTCCTACCCCTTCCTCCTCCTCTTTCCTAACACGAAACTGACGCCATTACCCCCCACAGACCTCCTGCCCCCCGCGCTCGCCGCGCTCAGCGACTGCGTGCGCCGCACCGCCGCCGCCGGGGGTAACGCGGAGCTCGTGTGTGCCGTGCTCGAGGCGCTTGTCGGGGATGACGACGACGACGAGTCGGGGGATGCAGCAGCCACTCTAGAGGGCGCGGCAGCGAGTGGAGAGGCAGAAGTAGACGCAGCCGCCACGAAGACGCCCGACACTGCGCAGGCCATCCGCGCGGCGGGGCGCGCACTCAGCGCGGACGTGCTGCGCGCGGCGGTGGACCGCGAGGACGCCCCGCTGCTCGTGCGCGCGCTCGCGGCGTTTGGGCCGCGCGTGTTCCGGGATGGGGTTGGCGAGGTGTGTCTCTTTCTTTCCCCCCTTCTTACTGTAACAACACCAAAGCTAACGCCCGCAGGCCCTCGACGCGCTCCTCGCGCGCCGCGCCTACGCGCTGCTCCTCACCGCCCCGCCCCTCCTCCTCGCGTACCTCACGCACCGCGCGCCGCGCCGCGAGGCGCTCTTCCGCGCGCTGCTGCGCGACGTCGCCGCGCACCCCGAGGCCGCGGCGGACGCGCTGGCGGCGCTCGTCGCGCCCGAGGCGGCACGCGCGCTCGAGGGGCTGCGCGCCGTCGATGGTGATGACGAGGCCGCCGCGGGCCCGCTCGACGCGCTCTTCGCCGGCGCCGGCGCCGGGCCCGAACGCGCGCCGCTCCCCGTGCGCGTCCGCGCGCAGGTGCTGCAGCGCGCGGAGCGCTTCCTCTCGCGCGGGGCGGCGCGCGCGGCGCTCGGCGGCGCCGTCAGCGCGTTTGCGACGCGCGTGGAGGCGGCGACCGCTGCGGGCGCGGAGTTGGGGGTTGGGGCGTTCGACGACGACGTGGTGCTGCTGGGGGGCGTGCTGGATGCGGAGGCGGTGGACGCGGCGGTGCTGATGCCCGCGGTGTATGTGCTCGCGCACGTGCTGCCGCGCGCGGTGCCGTACGCTGCGGGGGGTGCGGCGCGGGAGATGTGGGGCCGGTGGCGCGAGGGGGGCGCGCCTCAGGGGGCGGAGGTGCGCAAGGAGGTTTTGAGGCGGCTGGGGGCGATGGTGCGCGAGACGGCGGTGTGCGTTACGTGCGTGGTTTTCCTGCCTTGTTGGTTCTTCGGCGGATTGTTGATGGGCTACACAGGCCGGAGGACGTGCTCGCCGCGCTCGCGGAGGACACGCTGGGCGCGCCGCTCGACGTCGTGGCGGAGGTCTTCCCCCCACAGGCGGCGCTCGACGCGATGCTCGACGCGCTGCCCGGCGGCCCGCCCGCCCCCAGCCTCGCGGTGCTGCGCCCGCACCTCCCGCCCGTCCCCGCACCCGCGGTCCCGGCAGTGGCGCACGACGCGCGCGGGTACACGGCCTACGCGCGCACCGTCGCCGCGCTGCTCGACGCGCTCGCGGGCGACCGCCGCGCCGCGCGGACGCACGTCTGGGCGCTGCGGCACGTGCTGGCGCTCGCGCTCGTCGCAGAGGACCTGCTCGCCGTGCCCGCCGCGCCGAGCGCCGTGTTCGACGGCGCGGGCGTGGACCGCGCGGCGCTGGGCGAGCTTGCGGGGCGCGCGCGGGGGTTCGCGACGTTCCTGCTTACGGCCGCGGCGCCGGCGGCGGAGGAGGGGTGGCGCGCGCGGGTGCTTGCAGCTGTGACCGGCGGGGCGCCGCTTGTTGGCGGGGGCGCGCTGCCGGGGTTGCTGGTTGAGCTTATTGGCTGTGCGAGGCGGACGGACGCGAGTCGGGATTGTCGGATTTTGGATCGGGTGCTGCGGCATTTGTTGCAGGATGCGGACAAGGCAGAGGCGGACCTTTGGATGGCGTTTGCGAGGAAGATCGAGAAGACTGGTGCGTTTGTCCATTTTGCCTCGAAAGCCCTGTGCTTACGATTGTGCTAGCGCCCGAGACGTGCATCACCGTGGTGTCGGCGGTCAGCGACTCGACGCTCGAGCCGCCCCGTTTGGAGCGGTATCGGAACGAACTCGCCGCGGACCTGTTGGGCGTCCCAGCGAGCAAGGCGAATACACAGGGTCTGCTGACGCTGCGCAAGCTCGCTGCCAGCGCGCCCGACGTCGAATCGGACGTGGTGTTCCTGCCGCAGCAGCGGTCCGTGAACATCTTCAAGGCGTGCCAGCAGTGGGTGTCGTCGGACGAGGACATCGAGGAAGAGTTGGAGAGCGCCATGACGCTCGTCTTTTTCCACCTCGC